TATATTTATCTTATTAAAATAAAAACCAAAATTGAACAGTTTTGGCGTTCGCGGCTGTGCTGGACATCGCCCGCCGGGACGTCTTTATATCCATACATATTTTTTTCCTTATGTTTTTCCCTCTTCAGTACTACTCGCCCGACAATATCAAGGAGCTAGGGAACGTTTTTATAACAACACACTGTACTACAAGAGGACCTTATTAGTGACGCTCGGCAGGAGGACTAACGATTGACGTAGGTACCAAACGTTTTGCCTCTTTATATTTTACGTATAGCGTCCATCCATCCAGCCTGTAAAAGTCCACTGCTGAACATTGGCCTCCCCATAGATTGCCTCGTAGATTGATTTTGCCTTAAATGCCACGCTTTGGGAAGTGCGTTGGTAACTTCAGTTTTTTATAATTTCAAGTTGTTATAAGGAAGACGCTGCAGTCCATCTCCTGGTTTGTTTCCCTCTGTCGCCTCTTACGACACCCACGGGACGATATGGGGTAGTGGATGTTCTTACACCGCCACTACACGGGATACGTGTAGCATAAACGGGATGACTATGCAGCTGTCTATCGGATATCAAGAGATCCTTTTTCCGTAGTCACCTGTTATGATACTTGCGGGATGAAATGGGGTGATAAAGTATCTGTTCACCATCAGGTGATCTGTGTGCTCGTTCTGTTCGAACTGTAGTTTCTAAGAATGTCGTGGGTTGTTTTAGCTGAGTGGACACGGGAAGACGTACACCAATACGTACCGATCGGCAGGCAGGCATATACCGAAATCATTATAACTCTTTATAAGGCCTTACATTTAAAGTAAATTCAAGAGTTCACCGTGTTGTTGCGGTGTAGGAATATCCACCCCAAATCTTCCCGTGGGTTTCGTAAGAGGTGACAGAGTTAACCTGAGGCAGAAGATGGGCAGCAGCAGGTTTCTAATAACAGTATAGTTACAATAAAAAACTGCGGTTGCCAAACCGCTTGCCAGGCGTGGCAACTATGCCTATGTAAATTAGTGCACTTGTGAAGGGCTGATGATTATGACGTAGGTGTTTCATTCTACAGTAACAATTTTTTTAAAAAAGGCGTCAACCTTACTTCTATAAAAAATAAGTCATTTATTTACCATAGGATGTGATATAATAGTAAAAAATAAAGACCTATTTGCTCGTACGATTCCTGGGCACAGGCATCCTCTCATTTCTAAGAGAGTTTTAGCGCTAGATTGTGTCCACCGCCCTACCCTAATGCACATTGGCGAATATTTATTTAACAGACGTGAAGTTATTCTTACGATGTTTTAAGGAAACGTAGTACATTTTTTTATAGGATAGGATGACAAACGAACACACGGTCCACCTGATGGTAAGTGATTGCTGTGACCAATAGACATCCACATCTATCCTCAATAAAGAATCAAAATGCAGATTGTCACCCGTGAGGACTAGGATGGAATGCCTCTTTTCCAGTAAAAAGGGTCTCCGGTTCTCTACACTCACTATACGACACACAGCAGTGTTAAGCTGCTATATTACGCTGGTATTCTGTGAGAACGTGGTCCTTCCTCGGTCGCGCCGACCCATTTGTGCTACAACTATACTAATAATATAGCTGCAGCATGCCTCTACTACGTAAAAAAGTACATTGTAAATAAACACTTCAAATTGCATTTAACATTTGCATTAGTGCCGGCGGGGATCGAACCCGGGTTGCGTACGATAGGAATACATAAAATAATAGAACCCAGGTTGCTCACATATAAAAGGATATTACTAGTGTTTAATCGAGCCCTTAATTACCTTCTACAAATAAGTTTTAAAAGTATACTCTTGTAAATCCATGTCCTGATAGACCTTTCTTAATTAACAACCATCATAAATAACTGGTGTATTAATTATTAATACCATAGCTCAACAACAAAGAAAATCCATTATGTGTCGGGGTACTTTGAAAATCGGCCTTCAGGCGAACCAATGGGCAATTGGTACTTAGGACAATGAACACGACCATAAGCGGAGCGGACGCGACTGTTTAGGCGGGCCCGTGCCCTGACATACTAATTTCATGATTAGTATGGACTTCTTTTAAAAAGTTTTTCGGACAGTCTACATTGTTTTATACAAGGATGTCACAGCACACAGTTTGTCAGTCAAAGTTTTAAAATGTGAAATGTGTTGCATGTGTCTATATCATGTGTGGTCGAAAATCAAAATTCAGATGCGTTACCAACCCTGCGATTAAGAATTCTTGTATATCAGTTTAGAGGGTCACAATCTATCAGCGACCATTTTAAGGTATATATTACATGCGGCGTCAGCTCCTGATATCTGTCGGAAGCGTTATTAGCTACCGAGGAAATATTATGTTATATTGCGAAAAGGTCAAAAGCAATAAAAAATATATGTGTGCCCCTGCCGTGTAGTGCTTTTCTACCAACTTTAAAAAGGAGGAGGTCCTCAATTCGACTGTATGTTTTTATGTGTTTTACCTCATAACTTTTTTGTGAACCAATTTCGATCATTCTTTTTTGTTTTTGCTAGCTAGTGTTTCTCATGTGGTCCCATATAAATTTGATCAAGGTCTGACCAGTAGTTTTTGAGTTAACGTCAATAATTTATATTAAAGTCGGTTGTACACAATTTTTAATTTTACCACTTGTTCGTTGTTGCAAACTGATATCTTCTTCTTTTAGTAAGTTAATTGAAGTCAGCATAGTATGTCTTTCTCTTTCATTCTCCTGTTTTAGGCGTCATTTTTTCACTTACAAGTTGCAAGACAATATTATTATCATTTATTTATAAGCATATTGTTTTTCAGCTTCAAATAGAGTAAATATTTATTTCCTTCAAATTCACGGGTACTGCAATTGCCAATCTAATCAAGTATATATTAAGATAAACTTATAAATACATAGCCATTGAAATTTCCTAACGAAAGGCCTTTTTTTAATTATTTACTGCAAAACTAATATAGGCATTTATATTTTATACCTAACAGATTACTTATCAACTGAACTGCATAGAGGGGGCAACCTGGCGTTCAATCTTATTTCATCGACAATTTAAATTCATATAATTACCGGTACATAACTTGGTTTATGGCAACATGAAACGTATCTCTCATTTAATAGACATGTTTTTCTATATTTATTAGTAAATTATTTAAGTAACATACCGATCTCTAACTTAGGAGTACACAGTGCTTATTTTTCTCTTAAAGGAGACAGTTTGCAGGTCGCGCAATGACATAGTATCGATGAGGAGTTTAACTAAATATTTATAGAAGTATCATAGCTATATTAAATTGAATTACACGTTTTAATCTATATTAATAAAGTCCTTATTTTGCACTAATGAAACTGTTAATTGCAATTTTTGCACATCTGAGGAAATTATTAAAATACTGATCACTGTGACACAGCACTCTAACCCTTTGAGCATTAATTACTTATCCTTTCAAAAATAAGAGGAGACTAGTTATTTTTGACTTCAACCACTTTCGCATTTCAATCCATTGTTTTTCTTAATTATGAATTGCTTGTTGATCAGAGACATGGTTTTTCACAGCTGCCCGCATAAAGAAGTTTAAGGTCACTCGGCGAGTTATGGAGAGGACTATGCTTGGAATTCCTCTGCGTGATAGAATTCGCAATGAGACTGATAGAGTAATGGACATAGCTCAACGGATCAATAAGTTGGTGGCAATGGGTCATATACCTCGAAGATCCGACAACCGCTGGAAAAAGGTTTTCAAATGGCAGCCTCGTAGCGGTAAGCGAAGTGTAGAGCGGCCCCCACTAGATTAAGTGACGACCTGGTAAGACATGCAGGAAGTGGATGAATGCAGGTGGCTTGGGGCCTTGTTTTGGGGCTTTTCTTGAGGTAAGTCTATGTTCCGCAATGAACTCATGAGAGCTGTAATAGTTATATCCGTCCATCCACCCATTACAAACTATAAAAGTCCACTGCAGAATAGGTCTTCTTCATAGTTTGCCTCATGAGTTTTTGCCATAGTTGCCATGCTTGGCAAGCGCGTTTTCAACCGCAGTTTTTAATTATTTTGTAGCTGTTATCAAGAAGATGCTGCTGCCCATCTCCTGGTAAATTAACTCAGTAATAGATATTATGTAAATTGACATTTAATTTTAAAGCTAATTTGATTACCCAATTATAGGTACCTCTTTGTTTATTTTTTCGGCTTGTAACTCTAACAGTCACTTACATTGCTAAAATTATATTAATGTAAAAATTTCGTCCGCATTATTATTGTACTTACGATTGACGACGACGACAAAAGTTTTGGAGTATGCCAATTGTGTAGTTGTTACATAAATATCCACATTATTGTAGATTAAACTAATATCAATTCATTGTAAACAGATAGCTTCATAGTTTCCAACAACATTTAACACGGTATACAGTACGATTATTTTAGTTATAAAAACTCTCCATAGATGGCGCTATCCCTTTGTAAATCGCGCAACCAATTGATTCTCTTCGGAATCACAAGTTAAATATTATGTTATAGAAATAAATGTTCTGATCTCATCAATGAATGTTGGTGTTTTATTCATGGGCCTTCGGAGCCGGATGTAGAGTGAAGTGAACCAGTGAGCAGTGGCGACACCTAGCGGTTGGTGATTTATACGGAGCAGAGCAGCAGACGCAACTGAGGAGAGCAAGTTTGTATGGGCGTAAAACTGTAAGTACATTTAAATCAGTATTGGCAATAGAAGTTTGAAATTGAAAATAAATTGAACCTTAAAGCAAAGAGATATTCAACTTAGAAAAATTTGAAGATTTATTGGTAGTACATGGACTTGTAAAATTTTATGTTGAATTGTGGTTGAGACGGGGAATCCATGCCCGATTTTGCCTAAGTGTGTACAACCCAAACACTTAGAAAAATCACGCACATACTGGACATAGAAAAAATAACTTGCTCTATCCACTCAACGGGACTTGTAAAAAAAAAATTGTCATATTTCAAATAAATAAAGGTAATAATGGAAAGCAAAATAAGAGCTCAGTCAGATATGTACCACCGAATAGAAAATGCCAGAGTCAATTTTAAGAAATCTCCAAAAGATAGGCTAACTTCAAACTACATAGAAACTAGAATTGATATTTTGAATGGACAGTGGGAAACATTTAACAAAGTACATGAACAACTTATTAGTGAAGTTAGTGATGCTGATTATGCAGAGTTAGATTACTTTAACGAGGATTTTTACACCAAAACAGAAGACTTATACGCAGATTATAAAACAGAATTAAAGGCAAGCTTGGAAAAATGTACTCGCGTACCGACCAAAACGCAGGACACGTTGCGTAGCAATGAAGAACAAATTAGTGTGCAGCTTCCAAAGATTTCTATTCCTAGTTTCTCCGGAAGGTACTCAGAGTGGACCACGTTTCGTGACCTCTTCTTATCACTCATTCACAATAATAATTCGTTACAAAAAGTGCAAAAACTTCACTACCTAAAAAGCTATTTAACCGGTGAAGCGGAACAACTATTGCGAAATCTACCAATAACAAGTGACAATTATTCAGTGTGTTGGGATCTTTTGGAGAAAAGATTTAACAATAAGAAATATGTAACTAACTGTATTTTAAAAAGGTTTTTTAGCCAAAAAAATATTATTCATGAAAATTCAAGTGCTCTTAAAGAAATGTTTGATACTACTAACGAGTGTTTAAATGCGTTGAAAAATACTGGTGTGAACACTGAAAATTGGGATATTATTGTGATTTATCTTTTGTCCTCAAAATTAGATAGTGAATCTCGCAAGCAGTGGGAAGCAAAAATTTGTGACTGTACAAACGACTTGCCCACATTAAAGCAATTTTTAGAGTTTTTAGAACACAGGTACAGATCACTCGAATTTTTGAATCCTAAAATCACAAAATGTACTCAATCCCATCATGTAGCCACAAAAAATAATGACAAGATATCTGTTCCATGTTCCTACTGTTCTGCTAATGATCATAAGCTCGGAAATTGTAAGAAGTTCGCAAATGAAACTCTATTAGCACGCCGTAACTTTGTCCAAACCTCCAACTTGTGTTTTAACTGCTTAGGCGCAAATCATTCGGTCATAATGTGTCGTTTGCCCACCAGATGTAGAATTTGCAAAAAGAAACACCACTCGCTATTGCATTCAACCACCACCAACGTTCAATCAAATAATGTAAAGGTAACCACTCAATCGAATAGTAACAATGTTGTCGCGGCAACAGCGACAGCATCAGACGAAAATGATCAGACCAACATTACCACTTGTTTCTCTAACAACAAGAGTCAAGTGCTTTTAGCAACCGCTTTAGTAAAAGCTGAAACAAAAAACGGATCTTTTATGACACTTAGGTCTTTACTGGACCAAGGATCACAGGCTTCGTTTATAACGGAGTCTGCAGTCCAATTACTTGGGCTGAAGAAGGAAACAAGCAAAAGTGTCATATTTGGAGTAGGGAGTGAGTGCAACTCTAAACATGTAGTACACATAAAACTACAATCGATCCATGATCCAACCTTCAACATTAAAGTGAGTGCACACGTGCTCACCAAACTTACCACATTTCTTCCTGAACGACAGGTTGACATACAGCTATATTATATGCCAAAAATGAGATTGGCAGATCCAAATTTCAACGTTCCAAACAAAATAGACTTGCTGTTGGGTGCAGAGGTCTATTGTCAAATATTATTAGAAGGGTTATTTAAAGGTCCAATAGGAACCCCTATAGCGCAAAACACTAGATTCGGCTGGATTTTGTCGGGCCAAGTATCTAAAGGTCGTAAAACGGAATCAAGCTGTAGTAACTCCGTAACCACTTTACACACTCAAGTTATCGAAGAAGAATTTAATCTTAAACAATTTTGGGAAATCGAATCTGATCAATGTCTTCTCAACAAAACTCACCACACACCTGAGGAACAAAGATGTGAGGAATTCTATAAGAAAACCACCAAAAGAGACCCTTCAGGACGATATATCGTCAAACTACCATTCAAGATGGAAAACCCGAGCTGCAAATCAGGGAATTCGCGGGAAATTGCAGTGAGCAGATTCCTTATGCAAGAAAAGCGTTTAGTACGGTCACCACAGCTTAAAGATCTCTATTCCGACGTTATTGATGAGTACCTGGAACATGGCCACATGGAAAAGGTACCAAAAGATGAGATCAACAAATCAGATAGTGTGTACTTACCTCATCACGCCGTAGTGAAGCTTAACAAGACAACATCCAAACTGAGAGTTGTCTTCGATGCTTCGTGTCGCGATAACAACGGTGTATCTCTCAACAGTGAATTGATGATAGGTCCAACTCTTCAATCGGATCTGCGTCACTTGGTGATGAGATGGAGACTTCACCCTGTATGTTTGGTCGCCGACATAGTTAAAATGTACCGCCAAATATTGATTTCTAGTGAAGATATAGATTACCAGCGATTGGTTCGGCGAGCCACGACGGAACAACTTATTGAACATTTTCGATTGTTGCGAGTCACATTTGGCACTGCTGCAGCCCCATATCTCGCAGTTAGAACACTGCACCAACTCGTGTATGATGACGGAAAACCGTTTCCATTAGCATCTGAAAGAATCTTAAATGATTTTTATATGGATGACTTACTTACTGGCTGCGAAACAGTCCTGGAAGGAAAACAAATCTATAAAGAGATCAACGAATTACTGAGCAAAGGGGGGTTTGAACTTCAGAAATGGTCAAGCAACAATGAAACTCTGTTAAAGGAAATAAGCAAAGAAATAGAAACAACAGAAAGCAATTTGGAACTCAAAATAGATGAAATCATTAAAATACTCGGACTTACCTGGAATCGACGTACCGACAACTTCGAATACTCCGTGCAGCTACCGCCACTCGTAGAACCTATAACAAAAAGAAAGGTTATATCAGATATTGCAAGACTGTTTGATCCTATGGGATGGATTGCTCCAGCCATTATAAAAGCAAAAATCTTCATTCAACAGCTGTGGCTAGCGGGAATCGGTTGGGATGAAGAGCTCCCACCGAAACTACTCAATGATTGGATTTCTTACCGAGGTGAACTTACGGCACTTACACAATTTCGTCTGCCGCGCTGGATTGGTATGAACAAGACATGTATGAAACTGGAGTTACACGGATTCAGTGACGCCTCTGCGGATGCGTATGCTGCTGTAGTTTACGCTCGCGTGGTAGATGAATCTGGAACTGTCAGGGTTACTCTCATTACGTGTAAAACTAAGGTAGCCCCAATAAAGCAAGTGTCTATCCCGAGGCTAGAGTTGTGCGGCGCCGTTCTTTTGGCGAGATTATTAAGGGAAGTCTCTGAAGTTTTGAAAGTACCGAAGACAAATCTACATGCATGGACGGACTCCACAATCGTTTTGGCTTGGTTGAGCAGTCATCCAAGCCGCTGGAAGACGTTCATTGCAAATCGAGTTTCAGAAATTTTGAACATTTTGAACAGAGATCAGTGGTCACATGTGTCATCTACTGACAACCCGGCAGATTGCGCTTCCCGTGGAGTCAACCCGTCGGAATGTGAAGCAATTCCCCTCTGGAAAGCTGGACCTGCATGGTTAAAGGACACGAATATGGAATATGACAGGAAGGAGTTAAGCGACACGGATTTGGAAGAGAAAGGAAAGAAAGTTTGTCATGTGACCAGGGAAGATGAATTTGAATTATGGATTAAGTTTTCGTCTTTACAAAAATTGACCAGAGTTATAGCTTATTGTTTGAGATTTATATCAAAGACGAAAAAATCTACTGAAGCAACAACATTTCCGATTTGGTTAACTTGCAGAGAACTATCAAGAGCAATTCAAATCAGCATAAAGGCGTGTCAAGCTACGTACTTTGCACAGGAAATCAAAGATATTAAGTTTAGAGGTGCAGTTAATAAGAAAAGCAAACTTACCACTTTGACCCCTTTCCTGGACGGTGAAGGAATTTTGAGAGTTGGTGGTCGTCTTGAGAGAGCTGATGTAAGTGATGATAAAAAACACCCGATTATCCTGCCATCGAAATCGCATTTCACAAATCTTATCATTGCAGATGCCCATCAAAGAACCCTACACGGAGGTCCTCAATTGATGATCAATTACCTACGATCCAAATATTGGATCCTCGATGTAAAAAATCGTACCAAATTATTTGTACGCAAATGTGTCACATGTATACGATATGCAGCACAATGTAGACACCAACTCATGGGACAACTACCTGTAGCTCGGGTCACTCCAATCCGCCCATTCTATCAAAGCGGCGTGGATTATGCTGGACCCATCCAGATAAGGACTTCTAAAGGAAGAGGTCATCGAGCGTACAAGGGATATATATGCCTATTCGTATGTATGGCTACAAGAGCCGTACATTTGGAAGCCGTAACCGATCTTACGTCACAGGGATTCCTCGCAGCCTTCAAAAGGTTTGTTTCTAGACGTGGCCATTGCGCTGATCTCTACAGCGATAATGGGACAAATTTTGTGGGTGCTGCGCGCGAGCTAAGAACCCTAGTAGCTCAGGAAAATTCAACCATGACGAGAGAAATCGCTGAGAGTTTAGCTACTGCTGGGACCAACTGGCATTTTATCCCACCGAGAGCTCCTCACTTCGGTGGACTTTGGGAGAGTGGGATAAAGTCCACAAAACATCACCTGAAGCGTGTGATCGGCACAGAGACCCTAACTTACGAGGAGATATCTACTCTGCTGTATCAAATTGAGGCATGTCTTAACTCTAGACCGTTGTCACAGGTTAGCACCAATGCACAAGATCCAACACCGCTCACACCGGGACATTTTATCATCGGTGAACCCTTGGTGCTTGTCTCAGATGCCAATTATGAAACTTCGTCAATATCTTCTCTGAAACGCTGGCAACTAACCCAGAAAATGTTACAGAACTTCTGGCGAAGGTGGTCTAGCGAATATTTGACTCAGTTTCTGCAACGTCACCGGTGGGCAAACCAAACACCAGAGCCTAAAATTGGGGACTTAGTTTTAGTTAAGGAGGATGATCTTCCTCCAGCGAAATGGCTTATGGGTATTATTATAGAAAAACATAAGGGTGTGGACAATATTACGCGGGTTGTGAGTCTCAAATGCAAAGATGCCATAATTAAAAGGCCTATTGTAAAATTGTGTGTCTTGCCAGTGGCAGAATAAGGCCTACTTTTTTATTCTCTTTCGTGTCAGTCAATGCTTGACACGTTTATTGTTATTTTCAAGCTTAAGTTGTTTTTTGTTTGGTGAAATGAGCATGTTGTAAATGTAAATGTTTAAATTAAATATCTTTGGATTCTTTATTTAATAAGATTTCTAGGATTTTAAAGATCCTATTTACCTATTTGTTTTTTGTTACCTATGCACCATGATTCAACCATTTGGATCTACCCACTTTCATATTTTACCTTATCTATTTACAGTCCACTTTCGTTGATTGTTGATTCATGGTGGGCGGGAATAATGACCATTCTGGCCATGGTGGGCGGAATGTCTAGTTGTTACATAAATATCCACATTATTGTAGATTAAACTAATATCAATTCATTGTAAACAGATAGCTTCATAGTTTCCAACAACATTTAACACGGTATACAGTACGATTATTTTAGTTATAAAAACTCTCCATAGATGGCGCTATCCCTTTGTAAATCGCGCAACCAATTGATTCTCTTCGGAATCACAAGTTAAATATTATGTTATAGAAATAAATGTTCTGATCTCATCAATGAATGTTGGTGTTTTATTCATGGGCCTTCGGAGCCGGATGTAGAGTGAAGTGAACCAGTGAGCAGTGGCGACACCTAGCGGTTGGTGATTTATACGGAGCAGAGCAGCAGACGCAACTGAGGAGAGCAAGTTTGTATGGGCGTAAAACTGTAAGTACATTTAAATCAGTATTGGCAATAGAAGTTTGAAATTGAAAATAAATTGAACCTTAAAGCAAAGAGATATTCAACTTAGAAAAATTTGAAGATTTATTGGTAGTACATGGACTTGTAAAATTTTATGTTGAATTGTGGTTGAGACGGGGAATCCATGCCCGATTTTGCCTAAGTGTGTACAACCCAAACACTTAGAAAAATCACGCACATACTGGACATAGAAAAAATAACTTGCTCTATCCACTCAACGGGACTTGTAAAAAAAAAATTGTCATATTTCAAATAAATAAAGGTAATAATGGAAAGCAAAATAAGAGCTCAGTCAGATATGTACCACCGAATAGAAAATGCCAGAGTCAATTTTAAGAAATCTCCAAAAGATAGGCTAACTTCAAACTACATAGAAACTAGAATTGATATTTTGAATGGACAGTGGGAAACATTTAACAAAGTACATGAACAACTTATTAGTGAAGTTAGTGATGCTGATTATGCAGAGTTAGATTACTTTAACGAGGATTTTTACACCAAAACAGAAGACTTATACGCAGATTATAAAACAGAATTAAAGGCAAGCTTGGAAAAATGTACTCGCGTACCGACCAAAACGCAGGACACGTTGCGTAGCAATGAAGAACAAATTAGTGTGCAGCTTCCAAAGATTTCTATTCCTAGTTTCTCCGGAAGGTACTCAGAGTGGACCACGTTTCGTGACCTCTTCTTATCACTCATTCACAATAATAATTCGTTACAAAAAGTGCAAAAACTTCACTACCTAAAAAGCTATTTAACCGGTGAAGCGGAACAACTATTGCGAAATCTACCAATAACAAGTGACAATTATTCAGTGTGTTGGGATCTTTTGGAGAAAAGATTTAACAATAAGAAATATGTAACTAACTGTATTTTAAAAAGGTTTTTTAGCCAAAAAAATATTATTCATGAAAATTCAAGTGCTCTTAAAGAAATGTTTGATACTACTAACGAGTGTTTAAATGCGTTGAAAAATACTGGTGTGAACACTGAAAATTGGGATATTATTGTGATTTATCTTTTGTCCTCAAAATTAGATAGTGAATCTCGCAAGCAGTGGGAAGCAAAAATTTGTGACTGTACAAACGACTTGCCCACATTAAAGCAATTTTTAGAGTTTTTAGAACACAGGTACAGATCACTCGAATTTTTGAATCCTAAAATCACAAAATGTACTCAATCCCATCATGTAGCCACAAAAAATAATGACAAGATATCTGTTCCATGTTCCTACTGTTCTGCTAATGATCATAAGCTCGGAAATTGTAAGAAGTTCGCAAATGAAACTCTATTAGCACGCCGTAACTTTGTCCAAACCTCCAACTTGTGTTTTAACTGCTTAGGCGCAAATCATTCGGTCATAATGTGTCGTTTGCCCACCAGATGTAGAATTTGCAAAAAGAAACACCACTCGCTATTGCATTCAACCACCACCAACGTTCAATCAAATAATGTAAAGGTAACCACTCAATCGAATAGTAACAATGTTGTCGCGGCAACAGCGACAGCATCAGACGAAAATGATCAGACCAACATTACCACTTGTTTCTCTAACAACAAGAGTCAAGTGCTTTTAGCAACCGCTTTAGTAAAAGCTGAAACAAAAAACGGATCTTTTATGACACTTAGGTCTTTACTGGACCAAGGATCACAGGCTTCGTTTATAACGGAGTCTGCAGTCCAATTACTTGGGCTGAAGAAGGAAACAAGCAAAAGTGTCATATTTGGAGTAGGGAGTGAGTGCAACTCTAAACATGTAGTACACATAAAACTACAATCGATCCATGATCCAACCTTCAACATTAAAGTGAGTGCACACGTGCTCACCAAACTTACCACATTTCTTCCTGAACGACAGGTTGACATACAGCTATATTATATGCCAAAAATGAGATTGGCAGATCCAAATTTCAACGTTCCAAACAAAATAGACTTGCTGTTGGGTGCAGAGGTCTATTGTCAAATATTATTAGAAGGGTTATTTAAAGGTCCAATAGGAACCCCTATAGCGCAAAACACTAGATTCGGCTGGATTTTGTCGGGCCAAGTATCTAAAGGTCGTAAAACGGAATCAAGCTGTAGTAACTCCGTAACCACTTTACACACTCAAGTTATCGAAGAAGAATTTAATCTTAAACAATTTTGGGAAATCGAATCTGATCAATGTCTTCTCAACAAAACTCACCACACACCTGAGGAACAAAGATGTGAGGAATTCTATAAGAAAACCACCAAAAGAGACCCTTCAGGACGATATATCGTCAAACTACCATTCAAGATGGAAAACCCGAGCTGCAAATCAGGGAATTCGCGGGAAATTGCAGTGAGCAGATTCCTTATGCAAGAAAAGCGTTTAGTACGGTCACCACAGCTTAAAGATCTCTATTCCGACGTTATTGATGAGTACCTGGAACATGGCCACATGGAAAAGGTACCAAAAGATGAGATCAACAAATCAGATAGTGTGTACTTACCTCATCACGCCGTAGTGAAGCTTAACAAGACAACATCCAAACTGAGAGTTGTCTTCGATGCTTCGTGTCGCGATAACAACGGTGTATCTCTCAACAGTGAATTGATGATAGGTCCAACTCTTCAATCGGATCTGCGTCACTTGGTGATGAGATGGAGACTTCACCCTGTATGTTTGGTCGCCGACATAGTTAAAATGTACCGCCAAATATTGATTTCTAGTGAAGATATAGATTACCAGCGATTGGTTCGGCGAGCCACGACGGAACAACTTATTGAACATTTTCGATTGTTGCGAGTCACATTTGGCACTGCTGCAGCCCCATATCTCGCAGTTAGAACACTGCACCAACTCGTGTATGATGACGGAAAACCGTTTCCATTAGCATCTGAAAGAATCTTAAATGATTTTTATATGGATGACTTACTTACTGGCTGCGAAACAGTCCTGGAAGGAAAACAAATCTATAAAGAGATCAACGAATTACTGAGCAAAGGGGGGTTTGAACTTCAGAAATGGTCAAGCAACAATGAAACTCTGTTAAAGGAAATAAGCAAAGAAATAGAAACAACAGAAAGCAATTTGGAACTCAAAATAGATGAAATCATTAAAATACTCGGACTTACCTGGAATCGACGTACCGACAACTTCGAATACTCCGTGCAGCTACCGCCACTCGTAGAACCTATAACAAAAAGAAAGGTTATATCAGATATTGCAAGACTGTTTGATCCTATGGGATGGATTGCTCCAGCCATTATAAAAGCAAAAATCTTCATTCAACAGCTGTGGCTAGCGGGAATCGGTTGGGATGAAGAGCTCCCACCGAAACTACTCAATGATTGGATTTCTTACCGAGGTGAACTTACGGCACTTACACAATTTCGTCTGCCGCGCTGGATTGGTATGAACAAGACATGTATGAAACTGGAGTTACACGGATTCAGTGACGCCTCTGCGGATGCGTATGCTGCTGTAGTTTACGCTCGCGTGGTAGATGAATCTGGAACTGTCAGGGTTACTCTCATTACGTGTAAAACTAAGGTAGCCCCAATAAAGCAAGTGTCTATCCCGAGGCTAGAGTTGTGCGGCGCCGTTCTTTTGGCGAGATTATTAAGGGAAGTCTCTGAAGTTTTGAAAGTACCGAAGACAAATCTACATGCATGGACGGACTCCACAATCGTTTTGGCTTGGTTGAGCAGTCATCCAAGCCGCTGGAAGACGTTCATTGCAAATCGAGTTTCAGAAATTTTGAACATTTTGAACAGAGATCAGTGGTCACATGTGTCATCTACTGACAACCCGGCAGATTGCGCTTCCCGTGGAGTCAACCCGTCGGAATGTGAAGCAATTCCCCTCTGGAAAGCTGGACCTGCATGGTTAAAGGACACGAATATGGAATATGACAGGAAGGAGTTAAGCGACACGGATTTGGAAGAGAAAGGAAAGAAAGTTTGTCATGTGACCAGGGAAGATGAATTTGAATTATGGATTAAGTTTTCGTCTTTACAAAAATTGACCAGAGTTATAGCTTATTGTTTGAGATTTATATCAAAGACGAAAAAATCTACTGAAGCAACAACATTTCCGATTTGGTTAACTTGCAGAGAACTATCAAGAGCAATTCAAATCAGCATAAAGGCGTGTCAAGCTACGTACTTTGCACAGGAAATCAAAGATATTAAGTTTAGAGGTGCAGTTAATAAGAAAAGCAAACTTACCACTTTGACCCCTTTCCTGGACGGTGAAGGAATTTTGAGAGTTGGTGGTCGTCTTGAGAGAGCTGATGTAAGTGATGATAAAAAACACCCGATTATCCTGCCATCGAAATCGCATTTCACAAATCTTATCATTGCAGATGCCCATCAAAGAACCCTACACGGAGGTCCTCAATTGATGATCAATTACCTACGATCCAAATATTGGATCCTCGATGTAAAAAATCGTACCAAATTATTTGTACGCAAATGTGTCACATGTATACGATATGCAGCACAATGTAGACACCAACTCATGGGACAACTACCTGTAGCTCGGGTCACTCCAATCCGCCCATTCTATCAAAGCGGCGTGGATTATGCTGGACCCATCCAGATAAGGACTTCTAAAGGAAGAGGTCATCGAGCGTACAAGGGATATATATGCCTATTCGTATGTATGGCTACAAGAGCCGTACATTTGGAAGCCGTAACCGATCTTACGTCACAGGGATTCCTCGCAGCCTTCAAAAGGTTTGTTTCTAGACGTGGCCATTGCGCTGATCTCTACAGCGATAATGGGACAAATTTTGTGGGTGCTGCGCGCGAGCTAAGAACCCTAGTAGCTCAGGAAAATTCAACCATGACGAGAGAAATCGCTGAGAGTTTAGCTACTGCTGGGACCAACTGGCATTTTATCCCACCGAGAGCTCCTCACTTCGGTGGACTTTGGGAGAGTGGGATAAAGTCCACAAAACATCACCTGAAGCGTGTGATCGGCACAGAGACCCTAACTTACGAGGAGATATCTACTCTGCTGTATCAAATTGAGGCATGTCTTAACTCTAGACCGTTGTCACAGGTTAGCACCAATGCACAAGATCCAACACCGCTCACACCGGGACATTTTATCATCGGTGAACCCTTGGTGCTTGTCTCAGATGCCAATTATGAAACTTCGTCAATATCTTCTCTGAAACGCTGGCAACTAACCCAGAAAATGTTACAGAACTTCTGGCGAAGGTGGTCTAGCGAATATTTGACTCAGTTTCTGCAACGTCACCGGTGGGCAAACCAAACACCAGAGCCTAAAATTGGGGACTTAGTTTTAGTTAAGGAGGATGATCTTCCTCCAGCGAAATGGCTTATGGGTATTATTATAGAAAAACATAAGGGTGTGGACAATATTACGCGGGTTGTGAGTCTCAAATGCAAAGATGCCATAATTAAAAGGCCTATTGTAAAATTGTGTGTCTTGCCAGTGGCAGAATAAGGCCTACTTTTTTATTCTCTTTCGTGTCAGTCAATGCTTGACACGTTTATTGTTATTTTCAAGCTTAAGTTGTTTTTTGTTTGGTGAAATGAGCATGTTGTAAATGTAAATGTTTAAATTAAATATCTTTGGATTCTTTATTTAATAAGATTTCTAGGATTTTAAAGATCCTATTTACCTATTTGTTTTTTGTTACCTATGCACCATGATTCAACCATTTGGATCTACCCACTTTCATATTTTACCTTATCTATTTACAGTCCACTTTCGTTGATTGTTGATTCATGGTGGGCGGGAATAATGACCATTCTGGCCATGGTGGGCGGAATGTCTAGTTGTTACATAAATATCCACATTATTGTAGATTAAACTAATATCAATTCATTGTAAACAGATAGCTTCATAGTTTCCAACAACATTTAACACGGTATACAGTACGATTATTTTAGTTATAAAAACTCTCCATAGATGGCGCTATCCCTTTGTAAATCGCGCAACCAATTGATTCTCTTCGGAATCACAAGTTAAATATTATGTTATAGAAATAAATGTTCTGATCTCATCAATGAATGTTGGTGTTTTATTAACCAATATTTTGTAATATTCTAAAAATGATTTCATATTATAAAACTGTTTTATTTACTTTGAGATAGTACTGGCTTATAATAGTAAAAAAAAAAGAAACAAAAAGAAAAGTCATATTGGTCACCCTATTAAAATTTGACGCGCGAAACCAATTATGGTGGACATTATTAAAATAATGCGCCCATAGAACGATCGCTCGCGAAATATTTATGTGCGGGCGGTGGCGGAATCGTTAATGCGCATTTTTCTTACAATGCCTACCGTACGCGGAAAATTTCAGTCCTGCTTTATATATATTATTTTTAATACCCATTACTTTTATAATAGTTCCTTTAAACGACTAGGAAATATACATTTATGGCCATATTTCTAAACAACTTTTTTATTTACATTGTAGAGATGATAATTTATTTGAAAATATAATTGCTGCAGCTATATCATGGTTGTAGTACGAATGGGTTGGCTCGACCAGTGCAGGACTCAGGGGATATAACACATCGGAATTTTGATTCATAAACGAGAATAGATGAAGATGTCTTTGGGCCACAGCATCCATTTAACATTAGGTGTTACCCTTCTTTAAAAAATCTATGCGCTAGTTTTTCTTATAGCTTCCAGTGAGGCATTGAGGCTATTTTTTATTATATTTTTTATATTTTTAGGTTAAGGTATATATTTGCTATGGATTGCTATGGACCAATGTTCTCTATTTTTGAATCCTTGATGTTTGAAATAAAGATATTGTATTGTATTGTATTTTACGAATAAAATGTTTTAGAAATCTGAAAGAAGAGATGGGCAGCAGCATCTTTCTATAACGACTCAAAATAATAAAAAAAAACACGGTTGATAACCTGCCCGCACCAAGGAAACCTTTGGGGGAGGCCTATGTCAGCAGTGTACACACCGGCTGTATTGTTAATGATGAGGTGCAAAAATGTAATTAAAAAAAACACGCTCAGGTTTTATTTTCTTTTTTTTTTCTGTGTCTACACTGTCGTAATGGCCAGCAAAATTACCTATCGCAACATCTCGCACCGTCCAACGATGACGCTACTCTTACTATAAATTATAATTAATATAAATATAATTATATAAATATAATTATAATCGTCAACGGTTAGTTACATACAGCATATTATGGCAGTGTAGTTTTTAGATTAAAAGTATATAATTAGAACCTTTTCAGCTTCTCTCTGTTATCATTTACGACACTTACGGAATTATATGGAATAGTGAATTCTTTAACGCTGGTCAATAGTAGGTAAATGGCGAACCTAAAAATAACAATTATTTATATATTGTGATTATTAAGCTAATATAACACTTGGTGTTTTCCAAATAATTTAAATGAATAAACAATTTTTTATTAATATTTTAAAAATGCATTTTTATATAACATATATACAAGATAGAGGAGAAGGTAGTAATATGGTCCCCTACTTTATACTTGGGGCTTTATGTAAAACATATTGATCCTTATTTATTTGTCTATGCATGCTTGACTATGGAATAAATGAAACTGTTACAGAATAATCAAAAACAATTATATTCTAAAAGTATGTAAATTTGGCAACTTGAGATCCAGTGAGAGTAATATGGCACCCTGGGGGCCATATTAAATGTATTCAGTGTCTTAAAACCTAAGGGCAAAAATCGCATATATAATTCGCCTTCAGGACCTACACAGGCAGTATGGGCACATGAATTGCAGATCTGGCATTGAACCCACCTCTATCCACTGTGCTCTTAAGATATGCTCGGTTAAAAAGATCAGCAATATCGTAAGGCTTCAGCATTCTCTCGGAATGTAAAAGAAACTTGCGAATCTCCTCGCTTTAGTGAGTTTTTATACCAAGTGGTATATGCACGAATATCTCCAAGGATTCTTGAGAGTCCTTCACCAATCGTTTCAGTGTAGATTTTGGTACTGAACATAGGCCTCCCCCAAAGAATGCCACAAAGCACGGTCCTGAGCCACCTGCATCCATCGACTTCCTGCATATCTTACCAGGTCGTCACTCCATCTAGTGGGGGGACGCCCTACACTTCGCCTGCCGGTACGAGGCTGCCACTCGAGAACCTTTCTTCCCCATCGGTTGTCGGTTTTTCGAGCTATATGGCCGGCCCACTGCCACTTCAGCTTACTAATCCGTTGGGCTATGTCGGTCACTCTAGTTCTACTGCGGATATCCTCATTTCTGAGTTTATCACGCAGAGAAACTCCGAGCATAGCCCTCTCCATAGCTCGCTGAGCGACCTTGAGCTTCCTCATCCGGCCAGCAGTGAAGGACCACGTCTCAGTTCCGTATGTCATCACTGGCAACACGCACTGGGTGTACAGTCTCGTTTTCAAGTTTTGAGGTATACCTGACGAGAAGATGTGCCGTAATTTCCCGAACGCTGCCCAACCGAGTTGAATCCGTCGATTGACCTCTCGGTCGAAGTTGGACTTACCTAGTCGGACTATTTGTCCCAGGTAAACATACTCGTCAACAACTTCGAGCTTAGTGTTCCCAACAACTACCGGCATAGGTGTGACATGGACATTAAACATGATCTTTGTTTTGTCCATGTTCATCTTAAGACCTATCCGTTGGGAAACACTATTGAGGTCATTGAGCATAGTGCTTAGGTCCTCCAGCGATTCTGCCATAAGGACTATATCGTCGGCAAATCGAAGGTGAGTGATGTACTCGCCATTGATGTTGATACCGTATCCTTTCCAGTCCAGAAGCTTGAAAACATCTTCCAATGCAGCGGTAAAGAGTTTCGGGGATATGACGTCACCCTGTCTTACACCTCTCTGCAATTGGATAGGTTTCGTACTCTGGTTCTGTACTCGGATAGCCATCGTAGCCCTACTGTACAAGCACTTCAACACTTCGATATACCGACAGTCAACTTGGCATCGCTGAAGGGACTGCAGCACCGCCCAAATTTCGACGGAATCAAAGGCTTTCTCATAGTCCACATACGCCAGACATAGTGGCAAATTGTACTCCTCGGACTTCTGTACAATTTGCCGAAGGGTATGTATGTGGTCTATGGTGCTAAAGCCTTTTCGGAAACCGGCTTGTTCGGGAGGCTGGAAGTCGTCAAGTCTGCGCGCGAGACGATTCGTAATGACTCTCGAAAACAGCACGTAGACGCGGCTCAGAAGGGAAATCGGTCTGTAGTTCTTCAAGAGAGCGTTGTCGCCTTTCTTGAAGAACAAGACCACCGCACTTCTGCTCCACGCCTCCGGTGTAATGCCACCATGGAGGACGGAATTAAAGAGCTTCTGAAGGACTTCAAGTACCGGTTTTCCACCCGCTTTCAGAAGCTCCGCTGTAATTCCATCCTCGCCTGGGGCCTTGCCGTTTTTAAGGTGCTGGAGAGCCATTCTAATCTCGCTCAGACTGACGTCCGGGATATCATCGGAATAATGTCGGATAAGACTCGCTCTTGGATCGTTACTCACACTTGCGTGCGGCTCCAACGATGACGTGTACAGCTGCCCATAGAACCTCTCAATCTCACTCAAAATCTCAGGTGCCCCGGAAACGATGCTGCCACATTCTGTCTTCAGCTTTGACAGTTGGCGCTTTCTGGCAGACAGATCTCTGGCAAAGACTTTGGAGCCTCGGTTCCGCTCGATCGCTTCTTCAATACGAGCTGTATTGAATTTGCGTAAGTCCCGCCGCATGCATTTGGAGATCTGTCTGTTCAGTTGCCTGTATGCTGTTAAATCTGTTGAAGAATGTAGCTTCATCTCCCGTCTAACAGCCATGAGATTAAGAGTGTGATCGGAGAGTTTTTGTGTTCTTCTGCGGCGGGTCTTGCAGAACTTAGCTCCGACCGCATGGACAGTTTCCACGAGCTTGTCATTCAAATCGTCCACTTCATTGCAGTCTTCTAGGCACTGAAAACGGTTTTGTAACTCGAGCTGAAAGGTTTCGGGACTTTGGATTAGAGCACGAGGGGGACGGAGCGTTGACTTCATTAGACGAGACCTCTCCAACTTAATGTTTAGGTTCAGTATGCCTCTAACCATTCGGTGATCGCTGCCGGTTTTCACCCTCGCGATCACTGAGACATCACTGAACAGTTGTCGTCTGGTCGTCATAATGAAGTCAATCTCATTTTTTGTCGAACCGTCGGGGCTCGACCAGGTCCACCTCCTGTGGGGCCGCTTCTGGAAGAAAGAGTTCATCATAAAGAGTCCCTCTTTCTCCATGAAGTCGGCCAGCTGCTGGCCCCTTGGGTTCCGTTGCCCTATTCCAAATTTCCCTACTTTCAGCTCACCGTTCTCTCTTGTGCCTAGTTTTGCATTGAAGTCTCCCATTAACACCGTATATTGGGTTTTGGAGGAATGCATGGCTCTAGAGATATCCTCATACATTTCCTCCACCTCCTCATCGGGGTGTGCCGAG